CACCAGGTTGTCCGATGACGTGCAAACTCTGTCCATGCGTAAATTCAAAATTACTTTGAAACAGTATTTGCTCTCAAAGGCGTTCTACACCTTTGAAGAGTTTCTAAATGATGTGTTGTACGTTTCTCTCTAAATGTATTTAATTTTGTATTTTGACTTATGCAAAAACCGCTGTAGTTTTTATGCACTAATAAACTTTTTCATAATAGAACGACTATTCTGTGCTCTTGGCTAAAATTAATTTTCTTCTACTACGATTAAATACTCGTCAACATATTTCATTTTATATTAACTCTGTTAGAATTAATACTCTAGGCAGATTTCCAATTAATTTAAAGTGCGGTTTATTTAATTGTATTTCTAATATCTGTGATATTCAGAATGATTCATTAATTTTAATCTGTGCTAACTTACTAAACATTGTAGAATATTACTATATGTTTAAGATGTACTCTTATTATGTTTAAGGTTACTTTTTTTTGATGATTTCTTCCTGTTGAATCAATAAATATTATTATTACTTATCTAAACAAAGACATTACAATTCTTCAAGATGTTTTCAAATATAAAATACCGAGGATTGTGTAAAGAAAAGAAAAAATATGAACAGGTGGAAAGAGTATTCCTAAGTGTTGCTAGAATATGATGAAGCAGAGAAAGATGTAACGAAGTAAGGAAAGGATCAGAATACAGCACGGCCAAAGCAAGAATGAGCGAAAAGAAGACGGAAAAAGAGCTGAAAGAACGAATACACAAAATGAAGAACCATAAAGTACCATGCACGACGAAGTAACGATGGAAATGATTAAATAAGAAGAAAATAAGTACAAGTAAAGAATTTAGATTTAGGGTAACTTTTCGTTAATTCTTGTAAAAGAATCAAAAATTTTAGCTGTTAGTTAATTTAACAGGAGCTTATCCTTCCATATTTTTTATAAATATTGATTTAATATTTTTCTCAGTTTGCGTCGTCCACGAGACGAAAACGTAAACAACATGTGTTAATGTTCTATAATCATAAAATCCATATTATTGATTTCCTTAAATTTCAAAAATATCTATTACGCACAATTAAATCAACAATGAAATTTACTTACAAAAAATTTTGAATGAATCAATCAATTGTAAAAAGAATGACAAGACAAATTTAATTAACATGTTTCCAGTCCCACCACAATATAAACCAATGTTTTAAAATATCAAAGTAATCAGGTCAGTAGCTTCAACAAAGAAAGATAAGCGACAGACAGACAAACGGCAATAAAACTCCTATCCGTGAACTGTGAAACACGAAGCAAACATGAAATTAGACATTTGTCAGAACGACCCTATTATAATACTTCCCTTAGCTCAGCTCTCTTGAACTGAATAAGGAAAAAAGTCGCTTTATATTTGACATTTAACAAAAAACTATGACTACGAGAGCTGGCTTTTTATTTATTATCGTGCTTGGGTCGGCTGAAGCCCGATTTCGTTTCAACTAACTGTGAACAAGCAGCAAAGTTGAAGTTCTATTTCGTTTTGTTTTTATTTTAAAAAATATACCTACAACTCGCGCACCGCAATTTCTCTAAAGTGCCGCTACGTTCTCAAATTACAGGAGGAAATTCTATCGGTATCCATTTGTGTACAGAGATGAAGAAGTTTTCATAAATGTAAATAAAGGTGCATTTGCACTGATACTCTTGAAATATTGCAGTCGTAGATTTGTTTAATGTTCTTCCAAAGTACAGAATTATATATCATAATGTATGTATTATGTAGTCAAGTTGGCTGTGAAAACACATCGTTCCAGCAGTTTCGGAGATTACATGTCTAATAAAAATGGATACGGACAGACAGACAGACACGCGGAAAAGGGCGACTACTTTTTTCATACTGTAAGGTTATTAAAGGTCGAAAAAATATAAAAGTGGCGATTCGTCAGATGGACTTGATTACTATATTTCCTTAGCTTACGCTCGAGGAGTAAAAAGGATGTTCTTTTCAAGATTTTCCGACCAAATTGTAAAGAGAGTTTACTTAATGATTTTTTTGGGCTTTGTGCCATCCTTTCTCTCAAATCTTCAACGACTTGTTCACTAACCGGACGCCTTCCGGATGACTTCCTTAGAAACATTTCCAATGTCCCTGAATCGGTCCACTATCCTTTTTATACGAGTGTTTAAAGCCTGTTTCTCGATCCTTAGAAAATTTCTCCAGATATTCATTCGTACAAGCTTGAACAGAATACATCCATTCCCCTTTTGCATTTAATGCCGCAGTTCTATTTTAAGACACAAGAATAAACCAACTATTTAGTTGCACAGTTCTACCAATATTACAAAAAGAAATCTTCCTAGAACTGTAAATTTAAGAAGCAACACACAATCCAATTTTATCAAAGTACCTATTATACGAAAGTAGAAGGATATTTACAACTATTTGCATAATACCCAGTGACTTTTAATTGTTGTGATTTTTTTTAACAAGTTGGCAATATTTTTGAAATTTTATCACCTATCGTCTGTTAACAATTATATTAGACAAGTACTCTCCAAAACTAGTGGATTGATTGTCGTAAAACTTTAGACATGTTTTAAGAATGTCGTGAACATAGTAAAAAATTATTCTAAAATTATTTCGACGGAACTTCCTCGGCCCTGAAGTACAGTCCAACAACTCTAAAAATCTCTAAAAAATTAACACAATATAAATAATACCAGTCACACTGTAAGAATAATATTTTTATGTGTTTACGACGTCCAACTTTTTTTTCAGTGAGGGCTTATATACAAATGTTTTCAGAGATTCTTATAGACCTTGTCTTTCTGAATTCATTAGTATACCCATCTTTCGCCACTACCTTTGATTTGAACGCATTATGTTACACTCTGTTAACTTATTTACATTTGGTCTGGAGAGCACTTCACCCATGATAGGAAATGGATTAACAAGCAAATGCTCCAAAACTATGAATGGAACACCAAACACGTAATACAAAAGTGACATATTGACCATATAAACAACATGGAAAAGAAAAATATTTTATAAAAAAGTTTTTGTAAAGTAATGTGATCAAAATCATCAAGGATTCATAAACCACGAGTACAGAAGTAGATCCTTTCATAAAATTTAAATAACCTTAACTACGCAATATAATGAGCGGACGTTATAAAATTTTTGGTGGGGATGATTAGACAAATTTTGGTTAGCGTGTTACGATCTACGTGATATTCCAAATTTACATAAAAAATTTGACAACAATTAGTCCAGTAGTTTCGAAAATTATGTGTATAATAAAAATCGACACAGACGACAGACAGACAGACAGACACTTATGCTCGAGAAGTAAAAACTAACCGAAATTTGTCCATTTGTGAAAATGACATCTCAGAATTTTGCTAAATAAATTCTGGTTATACCGTGCAAAATAATATTCTACATAATAATAAGTAGTGCCTTTGTGGTTATTAATCCAGTTATATTTTTCACTTTACGCTTGTAGGTTTTTCGTACACTCCGATGTTGTCTCGAAGTATATCAATGAATCAACCAATTAAATTGTCGTATTATTAGCACTACGGCCTTGCTCAACGTTCCTCTAATAGTTATTAGCATAAAATGTTATACAAATCAGATTTTTTGTGAAAATCTGGATGCCTAGAGTAAACAATCAAGTCGGATTCATAAACCACAAGTACAAAAATATGTTATTTTATAAAACTTCAATATCATTTAATGTCAAAAATGCTTAAAATACGTCATCATGACGTTTATAATATTGTCGTTTTAAAAATAATCGATTCAGTTTTATCCATTCGTAAAATTAAAAACTTATAAAGTGTAAGTGGTCACATTAGTGCCAAAAAATGTTTTTGATTACATTGTACTTGTTCATATCTTGTCATTAATTCTTAATTTTGTGAAAAGTAACAAATATTCTTAATTTAAGTATCTGTCGACATAATTTTCATATTTCACTTCACATACGTTATATTTACATGATACATTCACTGTCTATCTTCCACCTGGCCTCTACTTATACTACTAGATAATACAATGAACTCAATATTTATGAATTATTTATTGATGTTTACATTTTCATTCTCTTCGAATAAATTACCCGTAAAAAATTTTTAGCTTATATTAAAGGGAACAAATTGAATTCCTGCCCACGAAACTTCATTATTTTTACTTCGCTTTAGAATATATTCTCTTATCGCAATATTTGTGACGTCAACCGGATTTTAGTTCATTACTATTCTACCGTGTTTTATACTTCCCTAATAAAAATTTAAGAAGATTATAAAATAAAACTGCACGGTAATCGGTAAATGGATAATATGATGCAAATCCTCTTACGACATTGAAGTTTTCAGTCGAACCACAAACAGCAAGTTAAAGTTATGTGAAATACATTCGAAAAACAATACTGCATAAAACAGATTTACGAACGCTCAGTGAAAAACAATTTGAAATAAACCGTAGAAGAACATCCGATTGGCTTTTATGAACAATTTTGAAGCAGTGTTATTACCATGGAACAACAGATGCAAAACTGTTTACTGATAGAACTAAACGCAAACGGTTGTGCTTTACAGGCAAGGAAAGTTCTTTTTAAATAACTTTAAACTATTTTTTTGCTGTGGTAGGAGAAACTTACAGAATAACGCGGTTACAAATCAATAATGAATGTTTTGTCTGGTGCCTGCCAAGGATCAAACCTAGGTATTTCTTTCTTCCTTATTTTACTCAATAAGTGGCGTCCTTTCAGAAACGGGTATAAATTATTGTAAATAAAACAACAAATCTTAATGCAATCAAGCGTTGCACAGCGTTGTAAAAGCTATGTAATTATACAATTTTAATTAGTTCTCGTGCACTTTATGGTTTCCGAGATCACAGTAGCTACTTAGAAACGCTCTAGACACAAGTGAACAATGAACACACACAATCTTCTGCACTTTTGCGTCATTTTCGTCGTCTGCATTCAGTAATAATCTCTTTTATCGTTTCAGCACCGCCATGTCTAAGCAAAACTCCAACAACGTCTCGCCAGGTGACGACACCTCTCTCAGGTCCTTGAGTTCTGAAGATGTTTCACAAGCACCTCGGGGTTACTGTTGTGCGAAATCTGCTAATCCTGCTGATGGGAAAGGACGCAAGCTTCACCTGCTTCAAATGCTGGTGCTCCCCTTCATCCCGATAATGGCCCTCATAGTCCAGACGGCTGTTATCCTGAATAACATAATGATCTACAGGCAGGAAGTCATGGATATTGAAAATCAGGTGACGATTAGTCGGAGATACGAGGAATACAGCTGCACGATGTGTTTCTGACGTTTTCTGAAATTTAATCTCGCTGCGAACTTGACTCGTAATAAACAAAACGTCAGGATAATGCCGTATGTCAGATAGGCTAATACGGGAGATAGAGAAGCCCATCTGAGAGTGACGGTGTTGGATTGATTGCGAGATAACATAAATAAGGTCTAGTTCGCAGAGGGTGAACAGTTGTTACAAAGTTAAGTTAGTAAGGGTCAGGACATACATCATTGTGAGGAGTAGACACTAAAATATTTAAGAAATTTTAAGTTATACACTTTTGGGAGTGAACATTTTCGAAAAAGATTTTCATAAGTCAAAATTATTTATGGATCGAAAGATCAAATTCTGTAAAAACAAAAATATAACTTTGTTTCAACCTCTCACTAGATTGGAATACAGTTAGCAACTTTTGTGTATAATCTCTACAGATCTCAAATCGGTTTCAAAATTTCGACGGTGTAACATAAACACGTTATTATCCCTACAGCAGCCTGTTATCCAGGAATATAATAGTTTGTTGAAATTGGGAAAACTAGGAACTAGGAACTAGTGAAATTAGAGCTGTCTGTCCACATTTCACACAATCAATAATAATAATATTAGCATTATAATACATGCATTGTTTGAGAGTAATTTTTGTATTATGTCTGCGAACTTCATAAAAAATTCCAGTTTATTCCTCTAATTTTATTTTATCTCGCTGTCATAATTTTTCCAGGTAAACAATTTAATTTTACGGCTGGTAAACCGCCTCCGTATCTATTAAATGGGATTAATTTTTTTTTTACAGGAATATTAACATTTATCCAATCTACTCTCCAACGCGAATTAATTTGATTGATTCGTTTGGACGCCAGAAAACTGGTTTTGCATATTTTCCCCTAAAGTATAATTTATCTGAGTTGGTGAGTTTTGATTTCGGCCTTTCTGGGGATTGGATTATTAAAAAAATTGCAACTTCTATAATTTTCAAAATTTGTCCACTTTGTGAGCTATTTATATCAGAAAACTTAAGATACTACTAACTAGAATTATTACCAGAGCGAATTTAAAATTTGAAGTTTGTGTCCAACTGTAAACTACTTGACTCCGACTTTCTCGCTTATGTTTTTGTCATTGCAATTTTCTTAGGAAACTTTCAAGTTACAAAAAAGTTCTGCAATCCGCAGCCTTCGACCAACTTATTAAATCCAACAGCGCGTATTAAACTTGAGTTTCTCGTTGAAAGATGTATTTTCCTGTCTGTTACTGATGCTTTTACTGAATCGTAATTGCTATTTAATCTCATTTTTACATTAAAAGTCAATCCAGTTTTTTGTATAAAGTTTACCACATTTATTTTCCTGTTTACTTTCAACATAGCATCAGAGTTCAATGGCGTCTACAAGTTGTGAAGTGACAGCTTCATTATTATTCATTACTGGTAACAGATTACAAGCTACTTTTAAAGCAAAAACCTTTTTAAAATTATCTTTTTTTTTCAGGATTTATTAATAAGTATTTGGTAAACTTTATCAGTGGTAGTCACCATACATATACTAGAATTGTTTCATTTCATTCCGAGTATACACCTTTAAATCTATACCTAATTTTTAACTAACAACCATTCCTGTCATATCTGACACTTTCTATTTTAATTAAATAGAAAGAGAATATTTTTCAATTTATTATAACTTTAAATACACAATCACAAAATATTTGATCAGCAACTTAATTATTTAGGAAATAACTAAACAAAACATATTTTTAAGAAGAGGGAATACCTGGCCTATTTTAAGTCGGAACGGTTCTCCAGAGATCTCGTGAGTGGTGGCGACAAAGAAATAATACTCGGGTTAAAATTTAAAAATGTACGATTTTTATTCGCCACAATCACGGAGGTCCTCTGACCTCCATGGCAGCTGCTTCTCACTGGACGGGGCTGCTTCGGATCTTGGGGAGGCGGAGACGCTGAAATGCGGATCGGACAGGTACGGTAAGTCGAGGGGCGGCGCTTATCGACTCTTATCACTGTTTGGATTATCCCGAAGGACACCCCACAAAATAGCCCGGCACAAAATAGCCTCCGACGAAACAGCCGAAGATTTAAAAATTTCCACAAGTCAACAAAAATATCACATACGAAAAATATGTTCATACATTATTTGGTGGATTTTCCTAGAACGGTTTGTTTCTTCAATGGAAATTTTAATTTGTTAAGCGTTTTATAACATGAAAGTCCGAAACTATTTATCAGTCTAGTTTTTAAACCAAAAGTGACTGAAAAGGCCTAAAATGCAAACAATTTTTGGTTAATTCGTAGTTTCGTTTTTTATACAAAAAAAAATATATTGTATGCATAAAAACATTACTATTATGACATGACCTGACCTAGCCTGACCTGACCTTTTTTTTGGAAAAATGGGAAAATACGTTTGAGTCGTTCTAACAATTCCTTTCATACCTTATTCGTATTCCTCTTTTTCTTTGTTTCTCGGCTTTGTACATCTTTCACAATAAAATATCGTATGTTCCACATCATCTCTGGTCTCACATACTCTGTATTTGTCGTATTGTCTTTCCTTTATCTTGTACAAATCCACTCTTTTATTAGGACTATACTCCTTGCCCGGCTCTTAAGTGTCTTTTGGAAGATTATGGACAATTGCTTGTAGGGTTACTGTCCACTGGTGACGGGAGGGCAATTTCTGTCATCGTTCTGAGATCTTCGGGTTTTTTAGCCGACACTATCAAGGCCATGTCTTCTAGCCTGGTCCTGACCACTGAGGCAAAACATAAATTATTCCAGAAGGGACCAGGATCGACCCCTGGGATTCGTTGCAGGAAATCTCAGATCTTTCTCAATTCTTCAACTGCTTTTTATAGCTTTTGTTCTTGCCTTGGTTCTCTCAATTATTCTCATCATTGGTTGTACCTAACGTTGGAAAGTTCTTTCTGAACCCGAGCCGATTCGGAGATATTTTACGTTTCTGCTCAACTTCTTTGTTCAGACCCTCTTTTATGAATGCTTCATGGACCTTCCCCAGACAATTTATTAAACAGATTGGTCCGTGTGCGCTGCTGTTCGAGATTAGAACAATTTAAGCCTCTCTCTACACCCCCGGGAATTCACCCTCTTTCCTGTACTTATTTATTAAACATATCTGTCGCATTGTGCATATTTGATTTTCTCGCTATTTTCACAATCTCTGGTATAAGATTGTCGGGTCCCTATGTTTTGTAATTCTTAATTCTTTTTAGGACTGTTTCGACCCCGTCTGTAGTGAGCCTCTCATTTCTCTCCTTGAATTTTTCTTCTTCTTCGTCCGATACCACATTAACCCAAACTTTTTAATCACTATTTAACAGGCTTTCCCCAAGAGATGATTATATATCAGTCGTTTGTTGTTTGTTGTATAATCTTCTCTCCTCGACTTCTGCGTTATTTGATTTTTTTTTTCTTTTATGTCTTCATGTACTTCCTCTGACTTCAGTACACTCCGTCCTTAGGTTCTTTACTTCCTCGTTCCACCAAAAAACTTCCCCTTATTTGCTCCCTGTCTCCTCATAAGGATTCTTATGGATGCCTCCTTAATTTTTAGCGCATATTGCTTCGGGTCCAGTATACTAGGTGGAGCATCTAGTTACTGTTTCTTTAGTTAGCGTTTATTTTTGCTACTGTTAACTTCAAATTGTCTACTTTCATTTTATTTTTTCTCTATTTCCCTATAAGTTGTCTGAAAATAAATATTTCTATACAGCTTACAATTTTTCTCTTCTTCTTTTTCTTCTTCTTCTACTTCTACTTTTCCATGTATTATTTTGTCTGCTGCATTGTGCAGGTGGCCCCAGCATTTAAACATTTTCTGAGCTCTAAGTGTTACTGGATCGGGTACAAAGTCAGACCCACCCTTATACTGCCCACCTACACCAGCTTTTCACTTCTGTTATCGCTACTTGGTTCCCATTGTACGCCGGTTTCAGGAATCTGACTTCCAATGTGTCCCCATCGTCCATTATTCCAGTTTCCTTGATCGCCTTTCTTACTTCATCTTCTGTGGCAACTAAGTCAATAATATTGTTTGGAAGATTTTAACCCGGTCTAGCCAGACCGGTGAGGGTCCCAACAATATTGATATGTGTGTATAAACAAAACTATAGATTGCTCTTACTTTTTTTTTGAAGAAAACTAATTTTTGTCGGCGTCGACACCAGGTCACAGAATTCACTACTTTTGAGTCCGAGAACCGCAACGAGGGGTTGCCAAAGAAAGGAAGAAAACTACCGAGTAGTTTCGACCAGCCTCCTTTATTTCTCTCACCCGTTACGAAATCTTACACTAATAAACAAAAACAAGACAACCTTAAAGGAAATGAAAACTAACAATTTTGAATAAAATGAAAGAGGGAAGTTAACACAACTCTACACTGTACACAAAAAAAATGCAAGAAAAAATTATTGTTAACAAAAACAACCCGCGGGAGAATTTTCCGACCGACCACTTCAAAGTCGAAACAGTAACTAAACTTTTTGACAAAATTTTGCAGCCTGATTAGAGGTGGTACTTCTTGGCCAATCACCTTCTTTCGGGGGTGGTTTCTCTCAGGGACTTTTTTCCCACAGTTTGGCCAAAAAAGAGCGCAATGTCTTGGAGCGGGTGGTCTGTCAGCAGATTCGTCCAATTCATAAGAACATCCTTCCCGTACAATAGGCTTACAAACATCAAATATAAAAATATCCATAGTTTACAGGGGTACTCTACAGCCATTGACAATTGTGAGAATTTCCTATGCTCGAACCCTAATAAAAATTATCCCACAAATCCGGAAACGGGACAATCTGTCCGGCCGCAACTAAAGCTCTTTTCTCAAAACTTATCCTCTATGTACAAAGATCATCAAACTGTTACAATCAAGGAAAAACATCTATCCCTACGAATAAACTCCACGTCAAAGACTGACATATCTGGTGCTTAATGGCTT